AGACTTCAGCTGTTCATGTGAGCTAAACTAAACTCTGAAGGACAGTGGCTCTGCTGGATCAGGATTAGTGATGCATGTATTGTCTGGACTGTAAGAATGAAGTGTTTTTGAGTTCTGGATTTAGAAGATGAGGTCGATTTAGCAGGTTTAGAAGATCTAGAAGGGCCTGGTTCCCCTGGAATAAAACCTCCTGTCAAACATTACACTTAGGTTCTTAACTGTAGAAGACAATGCAAAGAGACAACCACTGAGTGACAAATTATATGAAAAAAGTGGGACAAAAAAGTTTGTCCCACTAATCTCTGTTCTTTTGAATGTCACTGAGCATGTAAGCACAAGGATGTTGCAAATTATTAAAGGGACTAGATGATTGTTTTTGATGCAATGATTTTATGACACTTTTGCTGTTGACAGCTTGGTGAACATCTTCAAAGAACTGGCTTCAGACATCGAAGGCTTTGAGCATCCCGGTCATGGAGATCTGAGAGGATGGGCCAAGCAAGGTGTGCGTCTTCGTGGAGTACACATTAATAGTTAATTAATTACACAACTGATGACACAAGATGTGTCAAAAGACAGATCCATTTTACAACTGCGATGCAGATTTTGGTTTAGAAATAGTAGTTTTTATCAGCAAAAAAAACACATTTCATAAAAAAAAAAATTCTCCCATTTTAATATTAATTTGAGCTAATTCCAAAGTCATGGCTATTGTACTTTTCTCCTCATAGGTGTCTGATAGCTGATTTCCTTGTGCACGTAAGTGTCATAGATAGATAGATAGATAGATAGATAGATGCTAAGGACCTCAGAGGGGTTGCTAGGCTATTCTAGGTGGTTGCTAGGGTATTTGGAGTGGTTGCTATGTCGTTACTTGGCTAACTGGGGGCGTTGCTAGGGTGTAGCTATACGGTTGCTAAGGTACCCGGGTCGGTTGCTAGGGTGTTGCTATGCGGTTGCTAGGCTACCTGGAGTGGTTGCTATGCGGTTGCTAGGGTACCCAGGGCTATTGTACTTTTCTCCTCATAGGTGTATGAAAGCTGATTTCCTCGTGCATGTAAGTGTCATATATAAGATAGATAGATGCTAAGGACCTCAGAGTGGTTGCTAGGATATTCTAGGTGGTTGCTAGGGTATTTGGAGCAGTTGCTATGTTGGTACTTGGCTAACTGGGGTGGTTGCTAGGGTGTTGCTATGCGGTTGCTAGGGTACCCAGGGCTATTGTACTTTTCTCCTCATAGGTGTATGAAAGCTGATTTCCTTGTGCATGTAAGTGTCATAGATAAGATAGATAGATGCTAAGGACCTCAGAGTGGTTGCTAGGGTATTCTAGGTGGTTGCTAGGGTATTTGGAGCAGTTGCTATGTTGGTACTTGGCTAACTGGGGTGGTTGCTAGGGTGTTGCTATGCGGTTCCTGTGGTACTTGGGGTGGTTGCTAAGGCGGTTGCTAGGGTGTAGCTATACGGTTGCTAAGGTACCCGGGTCGGTTGCTAGGGTGTTGCTAGGCTACCTGGAGTGGTTGCTATGCGGTTGCTAGGGTACCCGGGGTGGTTGCCAGGGTGTTGCCATGCGGTTGCTAGGGTACCCAGGGCTATTGTACTTTTCTCCTCATAGGTGTATGATAGCTGATTTCCTCGTGCATGTAAGTGTCATAGATAGATTGATTGATTGATTGATTGATTGATAGATAGATGCTAAGGACCTCGGAGTGGTTGCTAGGGTATTTGGAGTGGTTGCTATGTTGGTACTTGGCTAACTGGGGTGGTTGCTAGGGTGTTGCTATGCGGTTGCTAGAGTACTTGGGGTGGTTGCTAAGGCCGTTGCTAGGGTGTAGCTATACGGTTGCTAAGGTACCTGGGTCAGTTGCTAGGGTGTTGCTATGCGGTTGCTAGGCTACCTGGGGTGGTTGCTATGCAGTTGCTAGGGTACCCAGGGCTATTGTACTTCTCTCCTCATAGGTGTATGATCGCTGATTTCCTGGTGCATGTAAGTGTGCTCAGTGGCACGTCTCTTTATGAATGTCTTTGGCAGGAGTTCTGTTGCTGAACGCTGTGCTGACGGTGCGCGCTGGCTACCTGGGGTGGTTGCTATGCAGTTGCTAGGGTACCCAGGGCTATTGTACTTCTCTCCTCATAGGTGTATGATCGCTGATTTCCTGGTGCATGTAAGTGTGCTCAGTGGCACGTCTCTTTATGAATGTCTTTGGCAGGAGTTCTGTTGCTGAACGCTGTGCTGACGGTGCGCGCTCACCAGGCCAACTCTGACAAGGATAAGGGCTGGGAGACGTTCACTGATGCTGTGGTACACTGGCTCAGCACTAACACGCAGGCTCTTGTCTTCATTCTCTGGGGCTCTTATGCTCAAAAGAAGGGGGCTGCCATCGACAAGGTGTGAATCTTTCAGTTTATAGATGAACACGAACAGAGGTCAGTAGATCCAGTAAATATTTCAAACAGGCAGTCACACAATGTTTTCTGATTGTAGAAGCGACACCACGTTCTGCAGACGGTGCACCCCTCGCCACTGTCTGCTCACCGCGGCTTCTTCGGATGTAAGCATTTCTCAAAGACCAATGAACTGCTGAGGAAATCAGGAAAGAAGCCCATCGACTGGAAAGCTCTGTGACCGTTTCCATTCGTGGCTGTAGATGAAATGCTGTTTGTCCTGTTTCAGAAATAAGCTTTGGTTTTTAATGTTCATTTCCTGCAAAAAAATATCCGTGTGCTTGTTCTGAATACATGTGTTTCTAGAGTAGGTCGACTGTTCATTTATCTGTCCATTGTTTTCCTTTCAGATGTTATCGATGTAGTTTTAAATGTACAACACTAACAGTGAATGTTTTTGTGTTTGTGTCTGTTAACACAATAAACTATTTTTCTACAGAATTGTATGTGCACTTTGCTTATACGGTCTAATTTTAGGTATTTTAAACATCCATCCTTCCCTCAGGTAATTTTGACCCGGAAATTAGTTTTTTTTAATTTTTTTTTAGGAATTTTTAAAAAGTGAAGTGTTCATCAGACTTTGTGAATTCTGTCACACTTGAACTTGGAATACACACCAAAAAATATATATATTTGAGTGAATTCGAGGAGTTTATGTGTGCGTAATTAAAAATAACTTTTCCCTCGCAGGTCAATTTGTGGAAAAAAAAAACGAAAATGTATTTTAAAAAAGCTGTTTTTTATTATATTTGATTTATATATATATATATATATATATATATATATACAAAATCTGACACAATCCAGTACCCCAAAGAAGGGCTGAGACTACAGAATATCCTCAATGCAGAAAACACTCGCACACAAACACACACATGGTACACGCACTCAACATAGAAACACATAACATGAATGATGTTAAAGCTGGGCAATTACTGTCATTTTGCCTTTTTAAACAAATTTTTTACTTAACACAGTTAAATTTGAGTGATGTGGTTGAGGCTAATGAGTTTATATCATATTTATATTTTTAAATATATTTATTGCATATGAAATTGTATGAATATACATGTTATAATTCAGTTTGAATTTTAAGAAAAAAAAATACAAAATACTGTTGTTGTTTTTTTATATCTAAATACATATTTGAATGCATAAACAAGCAAACTGAAGCTTTGGTCTAATTTTGTTTTGCTCAGTTAAGAATCTCAATAGGATCCTATAGGGCTCTCTAGTGGCAGTAATCATAAAATGCTATTTTATGTCATGTTTTTCCACCAGATGGCATCAGAGACACTCAGTGACCCGGGTCAAAGTGTAGGCTTTTAATAGACAAGGACTGAAATTGGTCAAATAGTCAAATTATGGCTTGGAGAGATGATTTCTACTTTACATTTGGAACGAATTATAGATACTGTTTGAAGGGCAAATTTGAACAGTTTGACAAAATCTGTCACCCTTTTCTCTGTTATCTTGATGGAAACCCTATCGTAAATGTAATGTTTTAATATTTCTTCATCATACTTTACAATTTAATGTAAACAGGTCTGGTAAGAGATTTGTAATGTGTTTCTCTCTCTTTTCCAATTTTGATTGTATTATTTGTACAGGTAAAAGAGACAAAAAATGTAAGATTGCAAATCCATCTTCAAAATCTTTGTCTTTCAATAAAACTTATTTGACAAAAAAAAAAAAAAAGGACTGAAATTGTGTCTTTGCTTGTTTTTTTTTTGTAAACAAATTGCTTTAGTCATAGTTTCTAAAAACAAATATCCAGAATATAAGGCAAATAAAAATAAAAATCACCAAAAATAAATAAATAAACCCCTATATAAATATTTAGAAATAAGACAATACTCTGATTAAGAATCTACCATGTAAACAGAGATTTTTGGCTACCTTAATCCGGCTAAAGTCATAATCGAAGTAAACACTAATCGAATTAAGACGAGGAGTATTCCTATTTAAATCGCATTATGTGCAGTAAACATGTACACACCAGGACTTTTCACCGCATTTTGCGACAGGATACACACACACACGGCAGTGCTCAACCGTTTGACGGCAAACAAAAGAATATGAAGAAAATGGCTTCAACAACGCCGTCCTCTGTTTGCATGTATAGCAAATAATTAACTGCACTTGAAGCTTTCAGTAAATTAAAAATTAAACACCCAAGACTGTATATAGCATGATAACGAAGACGAACTATATGTTTATATGTGAAACTCCGGAGGGGACGTCGGATGGCGTCGCGTGGTGACGTAATGACGTGCGCCATTAATCGAACAATGTACTCTAACACGTAAAACGGGAACAGTGTTGCCAGGTCCGCGGTTTTCCCGCGGAATCGGGCTACTTTAACACGGTCGCCGCGGGTTGAGGCGACAGCAATAACGTGATATTTCGCCTCTGGAATGCGTAAACCCCGCCAAAAAACAAACAAAAGAGTCCTATTGTACCCTCCGAACGCGATCTCGTTTTGATCAGCAACTGGGCGGGTTTTGTTGAGAATACCTGGCAACCCTGCTCAGTGCTATTGTTGTGCTCGCGACGCAACAACGCCCGTCCCGAGCTCGCCATTAACGCGGGGGGGGCTTGCGGGAGAGTCGGGCGTTTAATGAAGCTACTTCTCACACGAGATCACCGGATCCTGCAGTAATGGGCGCAGGACGAGTCATAAAGTGAAGCGGCCGCGAAAACGTTGAATCATGGCGACTCGAGAGCCGAGGCTGATGGTCAAGCAGGAGCAAGACGACGACTCTGACGCAGAGGAGCCGACTGTGTCCTTCAGGAGAGCCGACCAGCAGATCATCCACAGCGGGCACTTCATGGTGTCCTCCCCGCACACCGAGCACCCGCCGAAGAAGGGCTACGACTTCGACACCGTTAATAAACAGACCTGCCAGACGTACCGCTTTGGGAAGACCAGCACGTCGCATTTCTCCATCGACGTCTCGCTGACGAAGCTCTTCGAGTGCATGACGCTCGCCTACAGGTGCGTCTGTTAGTAAACACGCGAGCGATTTACGAGCTGTTTGAGTTTAGTAAACAACATCATTGCGTCATTAACCAGCGCGGATGGGTTTCAGTTCCCCGGTCATGCGATGAAAACTTGTGTTTTTGGTAACGCGTGATGAGCTTAACAGCCGACAGTTGCTGGTTTGTTATTGTTAGTCACAACAATCACAGCTGTATTAACCTGTGCGTACACCAGTTAGTCCTTTTGAAACGCGAACCTCTGATCCACAAGACGCCTGGTTAGTCAGGAAGTGTGAAACATTTCCTCTTCCAATCTTTGCAACACAAACAAACAAACACAGGCACTTAAAACATTAGTCGTGCTCTTGGAAGTACATAACATGATGCTTTCCAATCTTAATGCACTATAAATACATGCAGTGACTTGAATGCTTATAATTCACAGTGTCGGGTGTGATGCATAACTAGGTAATTAATTACTGTAATTTAGTTAGGCTACTTTTGCACTGAAAAGTAAAGTAAGGGATTACTCTTAATTCATCTGCAAGTTAATTACAGTTACTACTTACTGACGACGCTCCAGGAAACCCCTACTATAGACAAAGACAGTCAGCTATCATGTGACTGAAGGAAAAGAAGATAGAAACGTGCTGAATGATGAAACATGAAGACCATAAACGCTCGACTGCAACAACGTATAGTGTATCTGTGCTTGTCAAGCCATCTCAGGTATTTTTAATAATGATCAAGTGTATTTATGATTCATTGCTAATCGACATTGCCTTTATTACAGTATGTTTTCTTCCTCATTCTGTGATGAGAAGCCACATTAGATCACAAAAGGAAGTTATTTCAAACACTCGACTGATGTTGTGGAGTAAAAACGTTCTGTTTTGTCGGGCAGCAGGTTTCACAGACACACAAACAGAGCCAGTTCAGTGACAAAGAAAACACATGGAAATTATTTAACCGCAAAACCCCCCAAAAAAGCACGTATTGAACTGAACGTCGTGCCGAACGGTTCAATATTATACCGAGAATTGTAGCTTCCCTAGTGCTTTCACCCTTAAGTCACATGGACCACTTTTTAAAATATCTCTTGGTTTGAAAGCTGTTGTTTACATAGAAATTCTTCAAAATCTCACATGACACACACACAAGATAGTAGTAGTAGTTTTAATGAAATAAGAGTAATTCAAAAATAGCATGTTTTAGTTCTCGCATAACAAATGTTTACATATAGTCCACAAGACCAAATAATGTTTTATTCAAATTATTAACGTTTTTTTTTTTTCAGGTCCATTCTGACCGCAACTGTGTGAAGTTCACTTAAATAGTCTTGTGGTGTGACAAAATTACAAATGTACTTTTATATATTCAGTTTTCAGTGAGGTAGAGAATATATAAACGTGCCTATTTTTAGATTTTTTATTATTTGTGTTAACATTGGTGGATGTGGTTCTTGTTTTATTTCCAAGCATGTTTGTGTTAATCCAACAACAGACTCCTGTTTTCCTTAAATAATGCATTCACTGTCATCACACTTAAACTGAGGAACTATAATAAAAAGACCAAAATTCTGTGGCCATCTCTTTGTGTTTAGATTTCTATCTTCATGTTAGAATTTCGCAATTCAGACCCAAATTGCACAGTTTTGTTCCGCCTTGCGGGAAGTGCATGACTCTACTCACTCACTACTTTAATCAGATCTTGCTCTTGTGTGGTTTTGTCTGAATCAAGTTGTGAAGCTAGTTGCATATGGACTACGATGTCATTATTTTCTTGTTTGGTTGTATAGAGCGTTTGGCAAAAATCATATCTGTCAAATCATTCATGACTATAAGTAGGGATGCATGATATTAGATTTTGCCGATATCCGATATGACGATATTTTTCAACTCATTTTGGCCGATATACCGATACCGATATACGGATATACTGATAGTTTCCTTTCTTATAGTTAGGGATACACGATATTTTCAGAGTGTTATGGAAATCGGCCGATAATGGCTTAAAATGCAAATATCGGCATCGGCCTGATATGAAAAATTATGCCGATATGCCTTACCGATAAGACGAGTGACTTGCATGTTCTCATGGTGTGACAGCGATAATATCACGTCAGCAGTGTGCTCATTCTTGAAGTGAACTTTTTCCTGAATGATGATTAAATTCACTGTTTTGAGCATTTAATTTGAGAAGGCGAGTACAGAATGAGGCGTCTGGTGTGCGATAGAGTCACAGTTACTAGTGCGAGCAGCAGCGGGTCCTAATGCTCGTCCGGTAAGGCTTTTTATTTACTTAGGGGGCGCTGTTGGCCTACTTGTAATAAAATGAAAGTAAAATAAACAAATAACATTAAGATTGTGTTTCTAATTAAATAAAGCAGTAGTTGATGTCATAAAATCACGAGTATGGTTTGATTTAAAGGTCAGAAGGTATAGCTTACATGAATAAAAATCACAAACAAGACACAAATTAAATAATTTTATATATACAGATTTATTCATTAATGTGTAATATGTTTTTTTTTTCAAACAGATTATGAAAACTTAAATACAAGGATCTCTAAAAGATTTTCAGAATTTGTACAACTCTTTTGCTTTAGACCATCTACAAATGTTAAATATTCAAATAAAATGTTACGGATTGCTTTAGTTATTTTCAAAGCTTTCAATGTACTCTCGTTATAAAAGAACGTCATTGTTTTATTTAATTCTCAAAAGTAAGTTTTTGTTTCAAATCTAACCAAAATGAAAAATAATTTGTTTATAATCTCTGTACAGGAAAGACTTGGTGTTGTTTCCAAACAAAAGGAAATATATCGGTATCGGAGTTGAAAAATATCGGCATATCGGATATCGGCAAAATCCAATATCGTGCATCCCTACTTATAGTCATTAATGATTTAATAGAATTAACATAAAGATATTTATTTTGTGTGTAGAGTATCTCATTGCAGTATTCTTTATGTAAAAGAGCTAGAGAACTGATATACTTTATTGACCAAACGGCTTCATATCAGCAGCAATGGGAAAAATTGTGAATAAATTACACATAGAAAGAGAGCAAAACACTTTTCATGATGATTCATTTGTGACAGCCGTAATTGTATTTGTGGTTTTATTTTTCAAGTAATGATGCAGCTTTGATTTTAGAGTAAAAAGTTTGATTTTAAAAGATCAGGTTAAATTATTCACATGTTTTTAAGCCAAGTAGTACACTTTTGGTTTATTATCATTCCGGAGTTAAACATTTTGCCTATATACAGCGATATTCCAGAATAATCTGTTGCAACTTCAGATGAGTCTGAAAGTGTTTAATTTACTGTTAGTGACTCTTGAGTGAAATGTAAAGACTGACGTGGCGCAGTTATGCAACACAACAAGAAATGAAACGATGCAATAGACGCAAACCAAGTCCAGGCGATTATGGTGATAATCACAACTGAAAATTAAGATTCCTGGATTATTGTGCGCTTTAAAACACTTCATTATTTGCATAATGGCAACTTTTCCTTTTATAGGTCAGAACACAATTATGCATGAAAGTGAATTTATGTCTGTTATGCATATTACAATATTGTGCAATAGTAAAATAATAAGAATAATACATATTACTGTAAAATTCAGGTTGACGGTAATATGGATACAAAAGAGAACTTTTTTCACAACTTAATTTTCTCATTCTCATTTCTCATTCGCAATTTTCTTGCGATTCAGAAAAGTTAACACACATTTATGTTGTTTCCATAAGTGGAAGGTTGGTGTCACCGAAATGGAAGAACTTCAAAGGCCTCAAGCTGCTGTGGAGAGACAAGATTCGCCTCAACAACGCTATTTGGAGAGCCTGGTATATGCAATGTAAGTCCAAACCCTAAACACACAGATTACTCAGAAATGGTGAAACTAATGCAATTGGCGATGTCCGTCTGCAACGCCTTGTTTTCTGCAGATGTAGAGAAGAGACAGAACCCTGTGTGTCATTTTGTCACTCCTTTGGATGGAAATATGGACTCGGGAGTACATCGGCCAACAGAGGTGTGTCGTTTGACTATAGAAATATTTTTCTGTTTCTTCAGATCTGAAGGTCTAAATACATGCATACCCATTTTTTTTTTTCTTTGAAGAATTTGCAGCTTTCATTTCTCAGGTCAGATCACGTCTCTTCATGCCATGTTTTTCTGTTAACTAGGCAATCGCTACAGAAGGAAAGTACTGGAAAAGGAGAATCGAAATCGTGATCAGAGAATATCATAAATGGAGAACATATTTCAAGAAAAGGGTAAGTTTATTTGCCCCCACATTAAACTTTTAACAGTGTAATTTATAAAGTATTGTCACTTATTATAAAACGGAGCGTTCCGGTGCTTGATTCTGATTGGCTGAGCCGCTTTTGAAGCTGTTGTAAATTACTCTACAAAGTAACATACACCTTTGTTTACGTTTGTGTGTTGCTCGGCAACCACTTTGTAGCAACCACAACTGTTTCTGAGGAGCTACATTGTTTGGTGGAAGAATACTGTTTTTATTAATATCATTACACTTTATTTGCTCTGTTTTATTACGTATATGGAATAACCATTTTATAAAAGCAATAAACCCCGTGAAGCCGTGGTTTACAGTGAATTTATAACAGCTCGTGCCTAACAACGCCCCTTAGCTGTTATAAATTCACTGTAAACCACGGCTTCACGGGGTTTATTGCTTTATTTTAACTTGTTCAAATTCATATTTATAGCTACTTATAAATATGTTGTTACAGTTGCATATTTATTATAATGTACACATTCATATTTATAGTTACAGAAGCACAAGGATGAAGACCTGTCCAGCCTTCTCAGGGTAATTTTAAAAGGAATATTTTAACATTTTTCACTGTAGTTGATAATGCTTTGAATTGAGCATCTAAGTGAAGTGTGTGCATGCATGCCGTTATTGCAGTTGTTTTGTTTTATTTGTTACACTAACTTAACAAATAAAGGGGGAAGTCGTGGCCTAATGGTTAGAGAGTCGGACTTGTAACCCAAAGGTTGTGGGTTCGAGTCTCGTACCGGCAGGGATTGTAGGTGTGGGGAGTGAATGTACAGCGCTCTCTCCCACCTTCAATACCACGACTGAGGTGCCCTTGAGCAAGGCACCGAACCCCCAACTGCTCCCCGGGCGCCGCAGCATAAATGGCTGCCCACTGCTCCGGGTGTGTGTTAACGGTGTGTGGGTGCACTAAGGATGGGTTAAATGCAGAGCACTAATTCCTAGTATGGGTAACCATACTTGGCCACATGTCACTTCACTTGTTTGCAATTTGTAATTTATTCCTATAAAAAGATTAGCACTGCCTAAGAGAGTTTAGTCAGGCATATAGTCTCTGTACTGTCTTACAATTTAGGAAAAACAGTTGTAATTACCTTAGTTTATATATATGTATATACATGCATACATACACACACACACACACACATTTATAATGTGTGTATAATAAGGAATTGTGAATGGTTTTAGTAGCATATTACAATTAGGGGTGTGCGATATTGACCAAAAATTATATCTCAATATTTTTTTATTTTTTTTGATAACGTAATTAAACAATATTTTGCTGAGTGTGGCTTTGTGCTGGTACCTTGATTGGTTCAAGCCTTTCATGGATAAATAAATATGATACTAAAACCAACCAGTAGGTGGCAGCAAGTCTGTCTTAATGAGTGAATGAGTCATTGAATCGTTCAAGCGATTCATTCAAAACGGCTGATTCATTTAGAAATGAAGCAGGTGACTGTCTTTTTGAATGGATTATTGAATCATTGACTCAAATGATTCTTTCAGAAACAAAACACTGCAGGGTTTCTCTGAGGTGCACAAATGTTCTGCTCCGGCTTGGTTTGGAACTATTTTCATTGGCGAAACAGGAAAAAATGCAACTCACTCAATATTAACTTCTTGTTCATTGAACTGTTGTATACATTTAATATCATATTTGCGATCATGCTCGCGTGTTAATATTTAGGAAAACAGCTTGTGTGATATTACTTAACTATAAAGGTATAAAAAAACAAACCCATACAAGGGATATTTTTGGCTTTCATAACTTGAATTATAGTGGCATTCTAATCGGATTCATCACTTATATAGGCTTTTGTACTTTCAAGACATGTTTTTGTTTGTTTTTTGCAAAGTGAGTGACACTCGATAATGTCAGCTCGCATATCGTTAAAACAGCAATTGTAGACGGTAAATATCGCACACCCCTAATTACAATATAGATTATATATTGTGGTTTAGAAACAAAGCCCCTAAGTGGACATGGTGATGGACAAAAATATGAGATTGGAGAAAAAATTGCATCTCAATGCTTTTGCTCATTCCCCTTTGCATCCTCTCACAAAATTATTGCATAACCCCAAGAAATTTAGTGTGTGCTTGCAAAACATTTATTTCCCTCATAAAACCTTGCGTTCGATCTGAAAACATTCATGTACACTCGCAAAAGTATTGCATCCCCCAAGATGCAAAAGCACTGAAAATAGATCTGCCACCCACCTCATTATGTCCATTTTGTGCATGAATGCAGTTTCTCGGGGGGGAACGGAAAAGCATTCAAATATAATTTTTTCTCCCAACTCATTTTTTAATCATCACCATGTCCCTTTAGGTGCTCTGTAAGTTTAGTATAGTAATTGCATAATGGTTGTTGAGCAGGTGCCTTGTTTAAAGGTTGCATCATTCAGTTTCTTTTGTGATTGTGCTCAGGTAGGCTGATGTTGAGGGACATTGAAATGGCTTTGGAAAAAGTTAATTTTGACTCCTTGTTGACTGTCTTGGGCATTCTTGAAGTGCATTTGATCCAAGACTCTAGGCAGTGGAAAAGAACAAGACCGATGATTTTAAGACTGAAGGTTAGAGTGGAGCACAGAAGGTTTGTAGCTGTATTTGCATGAAGAGAGGACATGTACAGTATATCATATGGATAAAGGCAAAGTTGATAAAGAAGCTCTCAGTCAGAGCCAGATCACGGAGGGTTGACCGGCTAGACACGACTGGAATGAAGTCAGTTTATTTACAGCCAAATGGCACTTCCAAAATCTGTTTGAGCCTGTAGTGAATGGCAAGAATGCATTGGAGATGTTTGTCAAGAACTGTAAGAGGATATTAAACCTGAGACTGTCCACATCTATCCACACAAATACTTAGCTTTATATTTTGGACTATATTTTGAAAATATATCAGCTTTCGCTTGGATTGAGTGGACACTGCTTGTGGTTTAACCCGAGGGTGCTTCTCACAAACTCCATCTGTGCAAGCGCTGTGAGTTTGACCTGCATTTGGGAACGCAATGTGCGCTATGCTCACTTTTATATTCACATTTGCATAATTTCCATCATTTTTTTGTGCATGGGAGATTATAGCATTGGTCAATATTCTGAAAAAAAAAAAAAAAAAAGCATTGCATTGTAACTTCTAGTGTTGGTTGGTTCTTGTAAAAATTTAAGAAGGAACTATTTACATCAGAATTAGAGAGTCTGCTGTTCTTTGAGTCTGGATGTCTCAGCAGTAGAAATATGAGACATTTTCACATGAAATATAAATGTGGCAGTGTATGACAAAATATTCATAAGTCGTGCAGCCCTGTATCATGTTTGCATACATGCCATGTGACTAATAACCAACATCAGAGAACCGTCCTTAAATTCTCTAAATATTAACTTGAAATCTCAGGGGGTATTTTACGGTGTTTTAAATTTTGGAAACCCCTGGTTTAGCCTGTAGAGCAAAAGGATTTTTAAAGAGACATTTCACCCAAAAATGAAAAAATGCTGTTAATTTACATAATTTATTTAGTAGAAAAGTAAAGAAGATTCATAAAATGTAAATCAGTGGCTACCTGTTTTTGAGAATAAAAAAAAGCATATCAAGGAACATAAAGTTAATACCTGAGGCTCCTGACGATCTTGTGAAGCGAAACAATTGCCTGAGCAAGAAGCTGAATCTTATTTACAACATCATTACGTGGATGTTTTACATGCCTAAAGCATATAAAGTCTTAAAGAAAAAAACAGTCTTAGAAGCTATAAAAACCTTCATTTCACTGGTTCAACTAGTTCACCAAAAAGAACCAGTTCAAAAGAATGATTCGTTCGTGAATCAGACGTCACTCCGGACCGTTTGCTGCTGAGGCTCTAGGTTACAGGTAATAATGTTATAAATCATGTTCAGTTTCTTGCACCGACTGATCGTTTCGCTTCATAAGACCGCAATAAATCGTCATTTTGTGTTTCTTGATAGGCCTTTTTATTTTTTAAAAACTGGTAGCCACTGATTTGCATTTTATGAATCACCAAGGAGCAGAGTTTCAGCTAAAAATCTTCTTTACTGTCCTACTGAATAAAAAAGTCATCTACATCTTGGATGGCCTGAGGGTGAGAAAACTAACAGCAGCACATTTTCATTTTTGGCTGAACTATCCCTTTAAGAAACATAAAGTGATAAATTGTGTCCTAACTGACTGGTAGCTTGATGCTTGCATCTGTCTCTGCATGAACCTTGAGTGTGTCTGTTGATGGCCTGCTTGTTGCATTTTGACCTCCCGAAGGGTGCGGAGGAACAGTTTTCTCTCTTTGGGGAAGTGTGTCCAGACACTTGCCGTGTCCTCTTGTACCAGGATGAAGACGTCAGCGCGGGAAGCCGCCGCAGATCCCGCAGGAGTCACGATTCACCTGTTCCAATGGAGATGGACCTGCTCTTCGACATGGACATGCTCATGTCTGAATTCTCAGACACGCTCTTTTCCACGCTGGCCTCTCATCAACCTGTAGCCTGGCCCAATCCGAGGGAGATTGGTGAGAAGTGACAGTCGAGTCTGGCTTGTTAACGCGTTTATTCTAGAGAAAATGGCACTTCCAAAATCTGTTTGAGCCTGTAGTGAATGGCAAGAATGCATTGGAGATGTTTGTCAAGAACTGTAAGAGGATATTAAACCTGAGACTGTCCACATCTATCCACACAAATACTTAGCTTTATATTTTGGACTATATTTTGAAAATATATCAGCTTTCGCTTGGATTGAGTGGACACTGCTTGTGGTTTAACCCGAGGGTGCTTCTCACAAACTCCATCTGTGCAAGCGCTGTGAGTTTGACCTGCATTTGGGAACGCAATGTGCGCTATGCTCACTTTTATATTCACATTTGCATAATTTCCATCATTTTTTTGTGCATGGGAGATTATAGCATTGGTCAATATTCTGCAAAAAAAAAAAAAAAAAGCATTGCATTGTAACTTCTAGTGTTGGTTGGTTCTTGTAAAAATTTAAGAAGGAACTATTTACATCAGAATTAGAGAGTCTGCTGTTCTTTGAGTCTGGATGTCTCAGCAGTAGAAATATGAGACATTTTCACATGAAATATAAATGTGGCAGTGTATGACAAAATATTCATAAGTCGTGCAGCCCTGTATCATGTTTGCATACATGCCATGTGACTAATAACCAACATCAGAGAACCGTCCTTAAATTCTCTAAATATTAACTTGAAATCTCAGGGGGTATTTTACGGTGTTTTAAATTTTGGAAACCCCTGGTTTAGCCTGTAGAGCAAAAGGATTTTTAAAGAGACATTTCACCCAAAAATGAAAAAATGCTGTTAATTTACATAATTTATTTAGTAGAAAAGTAAAGAAGATTCATAAAATGTAAATCAGTGGCTACCTGTTTTTGAGAATAAAAAAAAGCATATCAAGGAACATAAAGTTAATACCTGAGGCTCCTGACGATCTTGTGAAGCGAAACAATTGCCTGAGCAAGAAGCTGAATCTTATTTACAACATCATTACGTGGATGTTTTACATGCCTAAAGCATATAAAGTCTTAAAGAAAAAAACAGTCTTAGAAGCTATAAAAACCTTCATTTCACTGGTTCAACTAGTTCACCAAAAAGAACCAGTTCAAAAGAATGATTCGTTCGTGAATCAGACGTCACTCCGGACCGTTTGCTGCTGAGGCTCTAGGTTACAGGTAATAATGTTATAAATCATGTTCAGTTTCTTGCACCGACTGATCGTTTCGCTTCATAAGACCGCAATAAATCGTCATTTTGTGTTTCTTGATAGGCCTTTTTATTTTTTAAAAACTGGTAGCCACTGATTTGCATTTTATGAATCACCAAGGAGCAGAGTTTCAGCTAAAAATCTTCTTTACTGTCCTACTGAATAAAAAAGTCATCTACATCTTGGATGGCCTGAGGGTGAGAAAACTAACAGCAGCACATTTTCATTTTTGGCTGAACTATCCCTTTAAGAAACATAAAGTGATAAATTGTGTCCTAACTGACTGGTAGCTTGATGCTTGCATCTGTCTCTGCATGAACCTTGAGTGTGTCTGTTGATGGCCTGCTTGTTGCATTTTGACCTCCCGAAGGGTGCGGAGGAACAGTTTTCTCTCTTTGGGGAAGTGTGTCCAGACACTTGCCGTGTCCTCTTGTACCAGGATGAAGACGTCAGCGCGGGAAGCCGCCGCAGATCCCGCAGGAGTCACGATTCACCTGTTCCAATGGAGATGGACCTGCTCTTCGACATGGACATGCTCATGTCTGAATTCTCAGACACGCTCTTTTCCACGCTGGCCTCTCATCAACCTGTAGCCTGGCCCAATCCGAGGGAGATTGGTGAGAAGTGACAGTCGAGTCTGGCTTGTTAACGCGTTTATTCTAGAGAAAGATGAGCTGAGTCTAAGCGCCGCTGTCCTCTCAGCCCATGCAGGTAATGCAGATATGATCCAGCCAGGCCTCATCCCACTGCAGCCCAACCTGGACTTCATGGACACTTTTGAGCCTCTGCAAGGTACAGACCAGGCCACTCTTGTTAACTGATTGACTTTTTAGATTACGGAACACTATTCACTGTTAACTAGTTGCTTATTAGCATGCATGTTACCTGCACATTGGCTGTTTATTAGTACTTATAAAGCACATATTAATGCCTTATTCTGCATGACCATATTCTAGATCCCTTAATCCTACACATACCTAAACTTAACAACTGCCTTACTGACTATTAATAAGCAGCAAGCTAGGAGTTTATTGAGGGAAAGCTCTTAGTTAATGGTGAATATGTGTTCCCTGATCTGAAGTGTCACTGGTAGTTGTTTTGCCCAGTTACAGTTAATTAAGAATGTTTTAATGTTTTTGAAAGAAGCCTTTTATAATCACCAAGACTGCACAACTACAGTAAAAACAGTGATTTTGTGAAATATTATTACAGTTTTAAAAGAACTGTTTTCTTTTTAAATACATTTTAAAATATAAAGTGATCAAAGCTATATTAGAATGATTTCTGAAGATCACGTGACACTGAAGACTGGAGTAATGATGCTGAAAATACAGCTGCGCATCACAGAAATAAATTACTCTTTAGAACGTTAAAATAGATATTTTAAATTGTAATAATATTTCATATTATTACAGTTGTATTGTATTTTTTATATAAATAAATGCAGCCTTTATGAGCATAAGAAACTTCTTTCAAAAACAATCATAATTATTTCAGACATTTCACCAGTAGTGTACATCATTACATCTAAATCACTCTTTTAGCTGTTCATTTTGAATCAATGAATTAGACAAATCATTTTGTGGAACATGATGATATCATAAACCAGTCTGAAATTCAATTAATTTACAACAAATTAACTGAATCTGTCGGAGCAGTTCGAGAGTTAACCCACTGGATCAGATGTTTTGTTGTAATGTTGTTCAAAGGTTTTTTACTATTTTGTGCTTTTGTAACTAGATTTGTTTCACACCCTGCGTCCGCCAGCCTTCCCCCCCACTGCCCCAGCAGTCACTGCCTTAAGCAGCAGCAGCTCCCAAACACAGGTAACAACCCATTCACCGATTCCTACTTCATATGCACTTCCTGTCCTCCACCACCAATGCACAGCTGCTTCATGATAATTATGAAACATTGTAACCCATTAGAATGATTACAGATTATGCATAACTGACCGTGTCTGCGTAGTCTAATTAATACTGTGCCAAATGTTCATTTTAATAAGAAGGATCATAAAAATTGCATGTTTTTTCAGGGTGTCCGCGGGTCCTTAAAAAGTATTTATTACAGCAATGATATTTTGTTTTCTTTTTAATTTATACACATTAAGTATTACATATATGTATGTAATAAAATGTGTATTTCCATTACAGGTTTAGGTCTTAAATTTCATATGTGGTATGAAGGTGGTATTAAAAAGGTCTTAAAAAGTCTTCAATTTAACTTGTTCATGTCTGCAGAAACCCTGTTTTTAAGTACTGCCCATGAATAAACCAAAGCAAATTTACACAAAATACTTTACATACACTTTCTTAATGCGTGTCGTTACCTGGATAATCCACAACATCTGGGACTTGACATATGATAGTTGTTCAAAACGTTTATTCAGGGCTCCAGACTGCGACCATTTTTTCCATTTCCAGCACTTTAAAGCTCTAAAAATGATCCAGTTTAAATGTTATTTTTAACGGGATGACCAAAATATACTTTGTGGTAAACAAACACTTATTAAAATAAAAAAACACATCAAATTACCACTATAACCAGTAGATGGCAGCAGAGGAGCACTTGTTGTCTTATTAGTCATTCATTTCTACTTTTTGCTTTATATTTTGAAATTATAAAATCACGATTATAAAATATCAAATCATCAAAAAAATCGTATTTTGTCAGAGTTTTGCACTTTTTGTGTATGAAATAAGAAAAGTCACAAAGTGCCTTGGAAAAACAAACTTTTTTTTCGAGTTGTCGGTCAGTTCAGTTTAATACTATAGAAGAATAATGGTACATTTAATAAGAGTAGAATATGTTCATTTTCTATATAAAACTTTTGCACGTGTTACTGTTGTTAATAAATGTAAATTTTGTTTGCTTCCCAACTCATGAAGAACTATCACAGAAACGTAGCCACTGATCATCCAGGTAACGACGCATAGTGTTAAGAATCAAGTGAATGTAAACTTTGTAACATTTGTGTAAACTGAGTACTTATTTTGTCTTGTGGACTATATGTGCACATCTGTTATGTAAAATAGCTTATTCAGGGCAGCACTAAATACAATTTTTATGATCCGTTTTATTTTGTTAAAATTATTAAAATTTTTACAGATTCTACAAGGTATATGTAAACTTATCACCACAACGTTTTTACTAAAACATTTTATAGTGAGAACTTGCATGAACAATTATTACTGATGACGTAAAAGTATTTTTTTTTAATTGTAGACACTATTAAAATATCTGTAACGCCTGTAAGTTGTGACGCAAGAAGGGAGCGTAAAACTAGCATACTGGCACAGTTGTTTGAAAGACCATTGATCAAATAAAAAGTGCATTTAATCCAACGCAGGCTCACTGGAAAAACGTGCCTTTACATTTCTGCAAATCTCCAAAAGTGTGCATGTACATGCATTTACTGCTGTTTCCAACTGAAATGCACACTAGTGGCAATAAAACACCAACTTTTAATAATTTTCACACAAATTATGAGTGCAGCAATAGATTACAATATCAATAAAGACATTTTCACACGATCTCTTAGCGAGGAGCACATGAACCATGACATGATGGTGGACAGTTTTACAGTGATACCAAAAGGCGTTTAATTTGCTAAAAAGCTATGAACTGTCAATCAAATGACAGAAGGCTTGTCGTAGTTTTGATCATAATAATTTAAGCTTTATAGTGTTAAGTATTAATGTATTGTATATCTTATACCGGTTCATACAAATAATAGCAAACATATTGCAGATATTAACTATATGTGACCCTGGAGCACAAAAGCAGTAAGTCGCTGGGGTATATTTGTAGCAATAGCCAACAATACATTGTATGGGTCAAAATTATACATTTTTCTTTTATGCCAACAATCATTAGGATATTAAGTAAAGATTATGTTCCAAAAAGATATTTTGTAAATTTCCTAACATAAATAGATCAAAACCTAATTTTTGATCAATAATATGCCTTGCTAAGAACTTCATTTGGACAACTTTAAAGATGATTTTCTCAATATTTAGATTTTTTTGCACCCTCAGATTCCAGATTTTCAAATAGTTGTATCTCAACCAAATATTGTCCCATCCTAACAAACCATACATCAATGGAAAGCGTATTTATTCAGCTTTCAGATGTATATATCTAAATTTCATAAAATTGACCCTTGTGACTGGTTTTGTGCTCCAGGGTCACATATGGTTTATCCCTACTTGTGAGATACAGTGTTTGTTTGTTCCAGACAATGGTGTGCTCACAAGAGAGGTCTGTTGTCTCTGTGAGAGTGAGCTGATTTTGGTGTCTGTTGTTTGTTAGGCTCCCATGCTGCTCTCAACTGAGCTTCCCTCTCTGCCGCTGGACTACCGTCTCATCCCTTCTGCTCCTTTGCCCAGCCACCTCTCAGTCGCCAATCAGGATAATGGTAACGCTGTTGGCCCGTCCTACCAACAAACCTACATGCCTCTTTTCCCAGAGCAAGTGACCCCCTCCATCCCACCGCCAGCTCCTCCTGTCCCAGCAGCCCCACAGCCTCTCCAGTGTGGAGGTGTTTCCACCGTCACTACAGTCCCGAGTGTCCCGGCTCCATCCGTAATCACACACACTGCCCCTTCCACAGTAACTCCCTCTGATGCAGCCACCACCTTCAGTCACAGATCAAGCTTTGAGCTGCCCACCGCACCGTCTCCACAGCCTGCGGTCTCCGCCTCACTCAGCTCACAGCCGGTCAACTTCGCCTTGCCCAAATCCATTCTGCCTCCTGTCTCTAACAAAAAGGCCAGACATCCACAGAGACCGATTGTCCCGCTGCCATCTCCTCAGCTCATACTCACAGGTTTGTGCCTCTCCTCAAAGCAGGCTTTCTAACATGCTCACGCTGCACTGTAAAAAAGAAAGAAAAAAAGAGGCAGCTGTGGTTGCCACTAGAACCTTACTGTAAAAAGTACGGTAGCAGCATTTTCAGTTTTAACAAATGTAAATGGTAAATGTGCGTTTTACAGGTTGAAAACGGTTATCTAAAAATATGTTAATATACCAAAATGCTACGATCTGTTTTTTTACATTTATAATTCACTAGGCTTAGGCGGTAGTCAGTGTTACTGGTGTTCGCTCCATACATCGATTACATTTAGGGCCATTACGGATCGCAGTTCGCACGCATGTTTAACCATCTCAGAGTAAAAGTTTATCGTTTGCATTTGTTTTTAAGTCTTGCCAATTTAAACATTCAAGTGATTTTAAACCATTCAAGTGCAAAAAGAGGCACTTGTTTCGGTAATTGCGCACAAACTGCATCAGACAGTATGCAAACACAGAATTCGGTTCTCTTTCACATCTTCTGCTTGAACAGACACAAAATGATCATGTATCCTCGTAAACAGACTGTAATGTCTTAAATGAACGTAAGCACACAGAAATCGGATGTGTATCAGTCTATAAATGGCTGCTGCAGTCTTATCATTTGTTAAACAACAAAAACAAAGATTAATCTATATTAAATTAATACAGTGAACACTATGCAGTGTTATTTTGCACTTAATTATTACATTTCTGTACTTGAATGCTACTGTTAGACCTTATTTTAATTGTAATTTGTTCTGTTGTATTTATCTATTATGTTTGTTCCTGTTTTGTTACTGATCAAACCGTTCACTGCTAGGCCAGTAGTTTCTGCTGTGGTATCGAAGAAGTACTTGGTGTTCTTTAAGTTATAAGTGGAAAGCAAAGTTACTTTTGTTTCACCCCACTAAACCCCGCCTCCTCCCCCCCCGTTTTGGATTTTTTTTGTTTGGGTCAAAATTATACATTTTTCTTTTATGCCAAAAATCATTAGGATATTAAGTAAAGATTATGTTCCAAAAAGATATTTTGTAAATTTCCTAACATAAATAGATCAAAACCTAATTTTTGATCAATAATATGCCTTGCTAAGAACTTCATTTGGACAACTTTAAAGATGATTAATTATTACATTTCTGTACTTGAATGCTACTGTTAGACCTTATTTTAATTGTAATTTGTTCTGTTGTATTTATCTATTATGTTTGTTCCTGTTTTGTTACTGATCAAACCGTTCACTGCTAGGCCAGTAGTTTCTGCTGTGGTATCGAAGAAGTACTTGGTGTTCTTTAAGTAATAAGTGGAAAGCAAAGTTACTTTTGTTTCACTCCACTAAACCCCGCCTCCTCCCCCCACCGTTCACTGCTAGGCCAGTAGTTTCTGCTGTGGTATCGAAGAAGTACTTGGTGTTCTTTAAGTTATAAGTGGAAAGCAAAGTTACTTTTGTTTCACCCCACTAAACCCCGCCTCCTCCCCCCCCGTTTTGGATTTTTTTTGTTTGCTTGTTTGCTGATCCGAAAAAAGACTCAAAAACCGTAATATGATCCGAACCGTGAGTTTCGTGATCCGTTGCACCCCTAATCACATTACTTGTCCACCGCCCCCATCCTCGTTTTGCTTTTTTAAATAGAAATACCTCTTTAGTTCAGTTGGACAACAGATGCTACAGTTACAAATGGAAAGCATCTGCTCCATATAATAGTTGTCTAAGATTTACAAGAGTTCATCACAAGTAGCTTTTCCACAAGCTGAGGTGAATACTAATATTTGGAAGGAACCCAGTGTCATACGCACACAAAACACCATCACGGTAATGCACACAACACTAAAACAATGCAGTGAACGTTAATTTAACAACATAAGATACATAAAAGCCTAATGTGCATATAACTGATTAGAAAAAAAATCTAAGAAACAATTATTTCAATGAAAAGCCATCAAATGTGAGCTACCATAGAGAATTCATGTTCATGCCTAACAATGCCCCTTAGCTGTTATAAATTCACTGTAAACCACGGCTTCATGGGGCTTATTGCTTTTATAAAACGGTTATTCCATATACGTAGTAAGGTTTCACAAAATAAAACAATTAAACAAAGTAATTAATGGAGAAGACCTCTCGCTATCGGTAATTTATTTCTGAATTAAATCCAGAGGAGAAGTCTAACAAGTCAATCACAAAAGTCTTTTTTTTATGGAGGAATTGAATATCGTCTTTGCTCAACAGACGAAATAAGCGAAACGCCATCGTTCATAGAAAAGCAACGTCAGCAGCGTCTTTACACACGCAAGATTGTTTGCATAAAGTGTGTGTGTGTGTGTTACCTTCTGTGTTTCGTATGCAGTTTGAGAATGGCAGCATCTTTTGTGTGAGTGAAGCAGTGCAGAGCCCTGTCGCTTTAATAAAGCTGAGAGTGTCATCCACACAACCTGCAGAACCTAATAGCTGCACAAACTTTTATTTGTTAATGCTTTTAAATTAAGATTAATTACCCTGTTTGGCAGTCCTAATTATGACACACAGCAACACAAGCTGCTGTTGTGTGAGTGAAGCAGTGCAGAGCCCTGTCGCTTTAATAAAGCTGAGAGTGTCATCCACACAACCTGCAGAACCTAATAGCTGCACAAACTTTTATTTGTTAATGCTTAAATTAAGATTAATTACCCTGTTTGGCAGTCCTAATTACGACACACAGCAACACAAGCTGCTGATCTGCCTCTGAGGTACAAGTTCATCTAATAGTGGAACTAGAATGGATCTCCAAACATCATGCAGAAAACTGCAGTAGGCTTTAAATGTGTTCTCATCCTATCCGTCTCCCATCATAACCATTCCCAGGTCCCTCCAGTGCTGTGATTGTCACTCAGTCCCCTCTCAGCGCTGATGTTGTCCCCAGCACTGGTATGGTCATTGCCCCCTCCAGTATTCCCTGTGTAAGCCTTTCATCCTTCATGTCCTATCCTCGCCGTCTGTAGAACAGGGTTGTGTACCATTCAGAACTGATTTGAGAGAAATGTTTGAATTCCAAATAAATTCCTAAATTCGAAGCGAGGTAGCAGAAAGAATGCTGAATTGTAATTCAAATTAGAATTTAAGAAAATAAATATAAATATAATTTTTTTTTATAATTCATGCACTGCTGTTCAAAAGTTTGGGATCTGTAAGGTTTTTATTTCATGCTTTTTTTCTTTTATGCTCAGCAAGGCTGCATTTATTTGATCAAAAGTTTAGTAAAAATTGTGAAATATTATTACAATTTAAAACCGCTGTTTTCTATGTGAATATATTGTAAGATGTAATTTATTTCTGTGATGCGCAGCTGAATTTTCAGCATCATTACTCCAGTCTTCAGTCACATGATCTTCAGAAATCATTCTAATATGCTGATTTGCTGCTCAAGAAACATTTCTGATTATCAATGTTGAAAACAGTTGTGCTGCACAATTTTTGTGCTGCGTAACATAATGTGGAAACGATACGATACGATACAACGAAATGATAACAGAATTGTTTGAAATCGAAATATTTTGCAACATTATAAATGCTTTAATGTAAGTTTTGATCAATTTATTGCATCTTTGCTGAACAAGTTTTAATTTCTTAAATAATTAGTAAATCAGGGTGCATGGCTATGATGTAAACTAAGGGCCAGTTAGTTTTTTTTATATATATATATAAAATAGACAAACTTTTTTTTTTTTAAATGCCCCATCCTAATTTCCTAGTTCAATAGAATATAGGTCTTCTTTAGAAAGAAAACTGCTAAACAAGCAGCTTCTTGTGAGTCTTTAAACAGAAAACATGCCCATTTTTCTATAGTGCGCATGTACAATTTATTTGAATTGCAGTTCAGTAAATTTCTATAATTCCACCATTCTGTTTGGAGTGTGGTCTGTTCAGTTTCTGATTCATAAATTAAATAGGAGTCAACTCTTACATTTTGAATTCTGCTCAACCCTGGTAAACAATAATTCACTTTACCCCAAGCAATGCATAATTACAATATAAAAAGAAATCGCACTGCCTTGCAGGGTTCCGCTGGTTTTCATATTCTCCCTCAGACACAGAAGTCGCCACAACTAATCGTACCCAAAGAGGAAACTGCCACAACTATATCCAACAACAAGACATCCGTACAGTCAGCAAGTACAGGTTCAATTCAGCCCGATCCCCTTTGTCTTTATCGTGTTTCACTGACATGAGGATTCCTGAGAAAGCTTCTTTTCTCTGTTTCTGTAGCACATGACGGACGAGTCTCAGGTCAAGGGTCGCCTCTGGGAGCAGAGCAGGTCCCGAGCCCTCAGTCACCCCTCAACCCCTGCGCAGGCAAAAATGAAGCCAGTCAGGTATAGTTCATGATATTACACTCTACCATGGTTTTCCAAACCGATGTCGATTCCGCAAATGCAAAGGGTTAATTTACATCTTTCAAAGCTGAGTGCAAATGTAAACATTTATTTGCACATTAAATTATTGCACAAAATGATGTATTTTATCATTATTGCAATTAATGGTCCAGTGGTAATTTATGGAAAAAATAACACATGCAAATGATTAACGCTGGATGACGACTGACTGTGTTATGGAGCCTGTGAGAATGCAGTTTTAAGATGTGAGGGCAAAAATGCTTCTGTATGTTTTTTTTTGTTATATATTTATATCGTATGATGTAGTTTATTAATACCACACAAGAGAGAGTGATCTGCCCCCCCCCCCCAGGTATCTGCATGATTGCAAATGTGATATTGATTTCATACAATAGTTCAATAAGCAGGAAGTGAATATTGTGTTACATTTCATAGACAGTATTGTCTGTTTTTGACAATTTCACCAAGAAATATTGTCCTGAACAAAGCCACAGCAGAACAGATGTGCCTTTCTGAGCAACTCAAAGCGCTGATTGAATCCACGTCTTTGAATGAATGATTCAGTGAGCCATTTGTAGAGAGAGTCAGTTGCTTCATTTCTGAATGAACTGGTCATTTAATTGAATCAGTTCAATTAACTCATTTACTGGTGGTTTTAGTTTCATATTAAGAGAATTATTGTTTTTTTTAAATGAAATCGTGGTAATATTAAATTTTTTCAGTCTCATTGCATTAATTATGCAGCTCTAATTGCAGTGTAAATGCCACCTCCGAACAGTCTGTGTAAATACACTTCAGATGCAGCTTCTGAAAATAGTGTTATGGCCACATTGTAGCCTTAAGAGTTTATGTGTAATACATTCTGTGTTGAATGAAATATATATTTCTAAAGCTTTTCTGTTCAGTGCTGTTCTCATTTAAAACAATAATGACTTTAAATTATCTTTTTGTAGGGGGTAAATTCTCAGCTCAAATTGATGTACGATTAATTTGATTAATCATGCAGTTAATTAGATTAAAAATGGTAATCACTTGGCAGCCCTAATTAGGAGTCAATATAATGATGGAATATGAGGTGTACAGAAAATTGTTTATATTGAATGAACACTAGTTTTACTGAATATTTACTGGATTCACATTTGTTTTTGTTTTGTCCATTGACTGCTGTTTAATTTGGGAACTGACATAAGGGGGAACTAGGCCAACCGAGCAAGGTTATCACTCATTTTAATGTTGAAATATCCAGATATCTGCTAATTTATCAGTCTGTCTCTGTTTGTAATTTTGTCCTGTGATTTGACACAGAGCCGCAGAGTGAATCACATATCTGCCGAGCAGAAGAGGCGATTCACCATAAATGCCTGCTTCAAGACGTTGTGCAATCTCGTGCCGACTCTCAGGTCTCAATCAAACGTAAATCTGCTTTTGGCTTTCCTTACTCGATTCTCAAAATCACATCTTGATTCGTACTTGTAGTTGTCTCTGCAAGTATTTTAAATAGTGAAAAGTAATTATTTTCCGTCACCCATTATTGGGTTTCCAGATCAGTAATGCTGCGACACTTCAGAAGACAGTTGACTACATTAGCAAACTGCAACTAGAGAGACAACAGATGCAGGAAGAGACCAAGAGACTACGAGAGGAGATTGAGGAGCTTAATACATCTATAAGGTATGTTTATTTATGAATTAGACTCTTCTTTTACTATTTGAAAGTGTTACATTTGGAAAAACTGCTACTTTGTAGCCATGCTATTTCAGTGCACAGATATATCGGTGATGGGGAGCTCAGTAAACACAAACATACTGTGCAAACGTCTTAGGCCATTAGTATTTTCACCAACAAAAAATGGTTTTAAGTAGGGATGCATGATATTGGATTTTGCCGATATCCAATATGCCGATATTTTGGCCGATATACCGATATATTTCCTTTTCTTTGGAAACAACACCAAGTCTCTCTTGTACAGAGATTATAAACAAATTATTTTTCATCTTGGTTAGTTTTTAACAAAAACTTAGTTTTGAGAATTAAATAAACAATGAAGTTCATTTATAACGAGAGTACATTGAAAGCTTTGAAAATAACTATAAAGCAATCCTTAAAGAGCAGGTAATATGGTATTTTAAAGTGTCCTAATATTGTGTTGGAGTCCCCTACAACAGGTTTAAATGCATCTAAGGTCAGAAAACATTGTAATTTTCTCAATATACATTTAATATTAGAGTCACAGCAAGTTTGGAGCAAACCCCTCCCTTTCATAAGCCTACTCTGCTCTGATTGGTCAGCTGGCCAAGCCTGCTGTGATTGGCACAGAGAGGAGTCCTTGAGCAAGTTAGCGATTGCTACCATTGAGAAAGCACCTTTGCATAAAACAATAATATATTGCTCCAATCCGTTCTTATAATAATGACATAAAATACAAAAACACTTATGCAAGCGAATGCCCACAGCTAAAGTTTAGCTGCTAAACTGTGAACACTTAAAACAATAATGGTGGATACGTTAGCCGAGTGCTAACGTGACTAACTGAGGAAACAATACAGTTTGTAAACCAAAATATGTCTACTGTAATGTTTGAAGAACGACAGACAAAAGACGCTCTGTCTTAACTTTTAATCAGAACGCAGAACAGCTGTATCACAGGCGCACCAGCCTAAATAACTCGCTCGTCTCTCCCGCATTAACCCTATAACTGCCAGTGCAGCAAAATAAACAGCAATTAGCTGTGTGCTACACTACATTCTTTATTATTAAACAAAGTAATTAGAACAACATCAGTCTACATTAATCGACACATTCTTAGGAAATAGTGGGTTCACAGCGAATTATCAGAACTACTTCAGTAAGACAGTAATATCGTGCTTTACCTGGAAACCTAAAGCTGCACTAGGTGTACATCACATATTAGCACAAAAACTTGATATTTTGAGCACTCAGTTGAAAATGTACACACAACGTATCAATCGTACTTACAGGTTGTGCTTCGGAGAGCTTGTTATTGACAATATCTTTATTTATCATGCACTTTTTTGATTAACAACTCTGCTAAAATCTAGCAGATTTTTTCATTTAAGGATAGCTACGTTATAAACTGCAAAAGAGATACTTTTCAAAAACCCATGTGACCTGCCCTTTAACATTTTATTTGAATATTTAACATTTGTAGATGGTCTAAAGCAAAAGAGTTGTACGAATTCTGAAAATCTTTTAGAGCTCCTAGTGTTTAAGTTTTCATAATCCGTTTGGGGGTAAAACATATTACACATTAATGAATAAATCTTTATATATATAAATAATTTAATTTCATTAAATAATTTATATATATGATGCCGATATTTGCATTTTAAGCCATCATCGGCCGATCTTGATAACATTCCGATAACATTTGATAACATTGATAACATAACAAATTTACAAGTGTCTTGTTTGTGATTTTTATTCATGTATGCTATACCTTCTGATCTTTAAATCCAGCCATACTCGTGATTTTATGACATCAACTACTGCGCACACCGGACGCCTCATTCTGTACCCGCATTCTCAGATTAAATGCTCAAAACAGTGAATCTAATCCTCATTCAGGTAAAAGTTCGCTTCAAGAATGAGCACACTGACATGATCTTATCGCGATCACACCCTGAGAACATGCGAGTTACTCATCTTATCGGCAAGGCATATCGGCATAATTTTTCATATCGGGCCGATGCCGATATTTGCATTTTAAGCCATTATCGGCCGATTTTGATAACATTCCAATAATATCATGCATCCCTAGTTCATGCATCCCTAGTTTTAAGTCAGTTATTTCTGGCTTTTTCTGTAGTGTATCAGTAGGAAATATCAGTTTACATTTCCAAACAATCCTTTTGCCATTAATTGTAATAATGCAGTGAGATTTCTGTATGAACAACAGCCGGTGCTCCACGTCATCCAGTCAGTCTGGGATGCTTGAAGAAACCTTCCTGCAAAGCTTCCTGAAAAACTATGTGCAAGTGCACCAGACAAAAGCTGTTTTAAACATAAAGGGTGCTCACACCAAATGTTGATTTGATTTAGTTAATTGAAGTTAATTGCTAAATAAAATCTATTTCTGACATTATTTTTGGAAGCATCCTCACTTTACAGCATTTTTACACAAGTGCCTAAAACTTCTCACAGTACTGGAGCTTTGCAGGAAGGTTTCTTGAAGTGTTTTGGAGTCGTTGCCACAGTTCTTCTGGATTTAGTCTGTCTCAGTTTCTTCTGTTTCTTCAGGATGATGATGCTGAGATCAGATCTCTGTGTGCAGCACTGCCTGTTGTTCATAGAAATCTCTCTGCATTATTATAATTAATGGCAAAAGGAATGTTTGGAAATGTAAACTGACACACTACAGCAAACGATAGAAATAACTGGCTTTTTTGGTGAAAATAGTACTGGCCTAAGACTTTTGCTCAGTGCTGTATATTAGCATGTAGACCTGCTTTCAAACAGGTAACCTCTGTAAGTGAACTCTTAAAGATGCCCACTATTTATTGCAGCTTGTGTCAGGAACAGCTCCCTGATACAGGGGTTCCCATCGCACGCCATCGCTTTGACCACATGAAGGAGAAGCTTGACGACTATGTGAAGAACAGAACTCTTCAGAACTGGAAGTTCTGGATCGTATCCTTCAGTCTGAAATGATTGAACTGAACAAGCTAATAGTTTCTTCAGATCATTCAGTCCACAGTATTGGTTTTATTCTGTAGTCACATGGCATATGAATACACTAAATCATTTCCTCGTACAGTTTTTTATTAAATTGTTTTATGTAGGATTGACATTTCCGGATCTGTCCACATGTGTATGCATTTTGTGTATGAGGTACGAATTTTGACCTCAAAGTACACAGTCACTTAAAACAAGTTTGGGTCATTTATAACGTGGATTTTTTTTAAAAATGCAACACACATCAACCGTTTTCCTACATTAACATTTGAAAGTGAAGAAAAAGACAGCCATGAATGTTTAGAACTGTAATTTTAGTTGTAAAATAAATCAATACAATAGCATTATTACTGTAGTTTGATTATTGGTTTAATTTTTATAATTTACCCAACACTGTTCGGCCTGCTTCCCATATGTTTCACAAAAGCAAATAGCGTCAGTTGCGCCACTGTTCATCGCCCTGTGTATTAGACTGGACTCCACAAGCGTGTGATTTTCTTTAACACTCCTCTCTCAGTTCAGCGTCATTATTCATCCTCTGTTTGAGTCCTTCAAGGCAACGGTGTCAACCACCAACAGCACAGAGCTGTGTGAAACCACCATGCAGTGGCTGGATCGCTACTGCGCCCTGCCAGTCCTCCGGCCTAGTGAGTTCTCAGTTTCATTTCATTAAAATATCAGCAACTGGAAGCTGAGAATTCATCTTTCTTTGAATGGACAGCAGGGCTGTGCAATTATATTTTAATTCAGATTAGTATCAGTGTACTGGATCCGTGCATTAGGTCTTAAAGTGACAGCAGCCTAATATCTTGGGAGGGTTGTTGAAGATTTGTGAATCAAAAAAAGAGAGTAATATTTGAGTTTATGGTGAACTGAAGAGAATTATTTTTTAGTTATTTATATCTCAGATGCGTAAGAACATGGTCAAAGTTTGACAATACTATAATACAATACCTGTGACTACTACACTTGAGACATATTTATACATTTATTAATGTAGTTTGTGTCTCATCTGTTCTAGAGACATGATGTTAGTTTTATTTATCAAGCGCAATACTATTTTATTTTATTCTGAAATGTGTACACTGAAATAAAATTTTGAAATATGGAAAAACATTTGCCAAAATTGCAAATATAATCGGAATCTCAGTGCCTATTTAAAGAACTGAAATGTGATTATTTTGTCTATATTGCGCAGCCCTGCTGGACAGAAGCTTCGGTCTGTTTGGCTAAACGTCAAACTACAATGTATATGCAGGAAGCCATATGTTTCTAAACGCATGTTAAACTGGAACTTGGAATGGTATTTTATATTATATTATATTTTTAAAATGTAAAAGTTTTTTAGAGCATGGTGATATGTATGTTACAGTTGGCTAAGTTAACTTTTTATTTAAGAAGCATTCAAAATAGCAAAATTCCTCATAAAATGTAGAATGTATGGCATATAATCTAAATAATACAATAATATTTAATGTTTTACATGCACAAATTGTCAGTAAACATAACACCAAAATTCTTTTTTTGGCAAACATGACCATAAGGGAGAACTGATCGTGAAATGATTATAGAAATATGTTCATGTATTGGTAGTCTTTTGCTGTGTGTTATCTGTGTACTATGTTCACTGCGTGTGTGTGTGTGTGTGTGTGTGCGTGTGTGTGTGTGTGTGTGTGGGCGTGTGTGTGCGTGCGTGTGCGTGCGTGCGTGTGCGTGCGTGTGTGTGCGTGCATGTGTGTGCGTGCGTGTGTGTGAGTGTGTGTGTGTACAGCGAGGTAAACCACACACTGTGTGTGTGTGTGTGTGTGTGTGTGTGTGTGTGTGTGTGTGTCCTCCAGTGGTACTCCGGACGTTACGACAGCTCTGTACCAGCACCTCTATCTTGACGGATCCCTCACTTTTGCCTGAGGAAGCTAAAAAGGCTGCTCTCAACCCAAAAAAACATTCCTCAGGATATTAGTTTCAACACTCTGACATCTAATATGTGTCCCTGGAGCACAAAAGCAGTCTCAAGTCGCTGGGGTATATTTGTAGCAATAGCCAACAAATACATTGTATGGGTCAAAATGATTGATTTTTCTTTTATATCAAAACTTAATTTTTGATTAGTAATATGCATTGCTAAGAACTTCATTTGGACAACTTTAAAGACGATTTTCTCAATATTTAGATTTTTTTGCACCCTCAGATTCCAGATTTTCTAATAGTTTGGCCAATCTCAGCCAAATATTGTCCTATCCTAACAACCCATACATCAATGGAAAGCTTATTTATTCAGCTTTCAGATGATGTATACATCTCAATTTCACAAAATTGACCCTCGTGACGGGTTTTGTGCTCCAGGGTCACAAATGTGAATTTATTTTTTATTTACCATATATCAGTCTTCAAGGAGCCTTGACAGCAACACTTATTGCACTCTTTGCTTTCTTGTTACTGATTGAACTCATTGAACTCCACTCAGACTGGTGGAAATGCAAGAGAACTGCTTGATTGTCTGCTTTAAATCTGTTCATAGAAGTGTTGTGTCGAGATCTCGAAGTACAGTACATGGTCAAACCCCTTTTGTATGTTCCTCTAATGTACAGGATGGACACTTCATTAGCATTTACCTTAATAGGACAGTCTCGAAAAGAACAAGCCCCCGAAAGTGGATTTATTTTGAAATGACAAACCAAAGGCAGTCTCTTGTTTACATTTGTCCTCATGTCTTTGTGTTTCTCAGACTTCATTATGCTTCACTAGAGCTGTTGCCTTTAGACTTACAGATTTGACCTCTCAGGGTGTTTTTTCGTATATTTGGGAGTCCTCTATATTCAGTGCTGTTATTCTGAATGCTTAGTGGAGCCTCACCCTCAGTTCATCCCAAAACTGCAGCACCCCTTAACAAATACCAGGATCAAAACTGGCTTTTTGAAGTGTGTGGATAGATGCATGGACGTGTAAAGTATGAGCTAAAGTTACAAATATTTATAGTCATATGATAAAGCACATTTGTTGTGCCTTAAACCAAGTAGAGCTATAGAAGAAACGAGCCCAGTGAGTTGTACTCTGTATAGTTGTGTTGTGTTGTTTTGTTTTAAGGTATCATTTTAGGTATATAATGTAGAAAACAATACTTTTAATAGCATTTTTTTTTTTCCTGGGAGGATGTCTTAATGTCAGAGTTCACTTCAAATGGCCCACAGGTCTGGAATGAAGGTCGTAGCATCTGCATCTATTTTTACAAATGAAACGTTATTTTTCACAGTGTGCTCTGAATGCTGATTTGCTCAATATTTTGTTTATGCATTTTTTTGGTGAAAAACTGAATGAACCTTTCTAACTGTGGGCTGTTCCCAATAAAAATAAATGATTTTGCATTCATTTAAATACAAGGTGTTTGAGGTGTCTTAAGTCGCTGGGGTATATTTGTAGCAATAGCCAACAATATATTGTATGGGTCAAAATTATACATTTTTCTTTTATGCCAAAAATCATTAGGATATTAAGTAAAGATCATGTTCCATGAAGATATTTTGTAAATCTCCTACCGTAAATATATCAAAACTTAATTTTTGATTAGTAATATGCATTGCTAAGAACTTCATTTGAACAACTTTAAAGATGATTTTCTCAATATTTAGATTTTTTTGCACCCTCAGATTCCAGATTTTCAAATAGTTGTATCTCAGCCAAATATTGTCCTATCCTAATGAAAATTTGACCCTTATGACTGGTTTTGTGCTCCAGGGTCACATATATCCCATGAAATTCACTGGAATGCACTAAGAATCTTGTTCTTCTCCCCAGATCCGCACATCTCTTTCCAGGTTTGTTTTCAAACACATGCTTTAAAATGTAATAACATAGACGTATATTTACTACAATTATATTTAACATGTCCGTAAAATTGCTGCAGATAGAATCAAGCTTTAGAGGCTATTCACAGTCTCTTGAAAGTTGTTAATGCTTTGATGGATCTGCTATAAGCAAGAACGATCCCCATAGGAAAGAAACACAATGCTCATAAAAAGGGACTCTTCTATGAATGAACATGCATATCTCCAGGACACTGTGTATGATTATTACGGTCTTGTATAGTGTCTTTTGTACTGTATACCGTTTTATGCATGCTTCATGATTGAACCCCCAGATAATGTAACCTTGTTTGTATCATGCTTGATAAGGAAGCTTGATACCAATAAGGTTACATTATCTTGGGGTTAATCCTCATTTAATGCCTTACACATTGGTGTACATATGACCTCCTCGTAGCATGCATTGTATTCCTGTTATATTAATCCGAGTGTAAAGGGACACGAACCGCCTGCCCACTCTGATCATGTAAATGAGCCAGCTTTCAAACAAAGGGTTGTAAACCTTCCTCCGAAAGTTTTAAGTGGAGGTGCGACCTTGCCAGAAGTTAAAAGGGCGCTACATCAGTGACCCTATTTTTCTCTCTCTCATCATCTTCTGCTACTCTAGCTAAACGAAACCGAGGTTTAGTAGAAGCTGTAGACCCCGTTGTAAAACGGCGTTGACGGTTGGTTAACTGACTCATTTCCATAGTTTCATTCTCTGGTTTCTAACGGTTTCGTTCATTCAGTGAACAGAACAGAAGTGCTGCAATACAAATGGTTCTTCAAATTGAGGGCAATAAATCACTCAATCTTCACATGGCAGCCTTCATGTCCTGAAAAGCTTGCTTGGCTTCTTTAGTCCAGCAGATCTGGTTAGGGCAATTCGTTCAAATCAAAATGGTCAGAGATGCCACACCAGTAGAGAAGGTACAGATCTTCTGTACTAACCTGCCATCCCTAAGAATGATCAGATCTGGGTCTTTGTATGTGGCTGAGGACAGTTTGGAATAGCCTCGATCTTTTGACTTTGGGGCCTGATGACACCATTACTGAATACATACACTAGGTTCTCTGTTTTCTTTTCGGCTTGTGGCACATTTGGAAGAGTTGATGGTGAAACCCGCCTCATGAATGCGATGGAACACTTTCTTCGAATGATGGAGATGTTGTTCCCAGGATCAGCTATAAATAATCATGAAGGCCCAACAGAACATGGTCCATAAGTCTTTGAAACGTAGCCGGAGACGTGTAAACCAAAAGGCATAACAGAAAAATGGAAGAGCCCCCAGGGAGTGTGAAAATGTGTGGTACTAATTTGTAGGCCTGCCTAGTAGGGGTAAAAAAAGGAACAAATATGTCCTTTTAAGGGTCCTGTTCCAGTGACGAGCTGTTGTACACCAAAAGGTGTGATTTTGGCCCCTTATTTCCTGTATATAGCCTATACATCCACAACAACATCTGAAACCACAGACAACCCTATTATTTGTATGGCCATCACATAAAAAAGGTCTAAATACTTAGTCTGGGGCCGTGGAAAATGATTAAAGGTTCTCTCTTGCACTGCATATTTTTACTATTTAAAATAACTGCTTTCGATTGGAATATATATTTAAAACGTAATTTATTTCTGTGATCAAAGCTGAATTTGTATCATTACTCCAGTCTTCAGTGTCACGTGTCAGTGTCAAGAAACATATTTGTTGTTATTATTATTATCATCAATATTTAAAACAGTTGAGTACATCAGGATTATTTGATGAATAAAAAGATCCAAAGATCAGCATTTATCTGAAATAAAAAGCTTTTGTAACATTACCCATGGACTATACAAAAAGCTTGGAGTCAGTATATTTTTTTTTCTGGGGGGAAATTTCTATAGAAATTATTACTTTTATTTAGCAAGGATGCTTTAAATTGATCAAAAGTGATGATAAAGACATTTATAATGTTACAAAAGATTTCTATTTCAGATAAATGCTGTTCTTCTGAACTTTATTCATCAAAGAAACCTGAAACAAATCGAATCTGTTTTCAACATAATAATAATAATAAATGTTTCTTGAGCAGCAAATCAGCATATTACACTGATTTCTGAAGATCATGTGACACTGAAGACTGGAGTAATGATGCTGAAAATACAGCTGCGCATCACAGAAATAAATTACATTTTAATAATAATAATAATTTATCAATATTACTGTTTTTGCTGTATTTTGGATCAAATAAATGCATGCTTGGTGAGCAGAAGAGACTTCTTTAAAAAACATTAAAAATCTTACCAGCACTTGAAGCCCTGAACAGGTCAGTGATGTTGCTACATTTCACTGCTTCTTCTATCCGCTTCCTCTCTTTCATCGAGTCCCGCGCATCGGTTCTGTTCGGAACCGTTTGACGGAAGCGCAGAACACACGTGAGCTGATTCCTAGTGCAGCGCTGCCAGTCAAGACTAACCGATTTATGACTTATTATCGAATGAAATAATCGGAAATGATCACTTTGGTACATTGAGAAGGCGTAAATAGAAAACATTAATAATAATAATAACAAAAACAAAAAAAAACAGGGCACCGGGAATTCTCCTGGTGCTCGGGCCTGATGTCAGGGGCTAGCCATGCTCAGAAATTGTTCCAACACAATTACTTCACCAACGTCTTCCTTGGTTTGATTCTGGGGTTGAAAACATCCACAGACAAGACAAAATTAATACCTGTGCCTCCTGACGATGTATTGAGGTCTTATGAAGCGAAACGATTGGTCTGTGCAAGAAACTGAACATTATTTACTACATCATTACCTTTAGCACAACCTTCCTGCTTGTTGAGGAGTTAACACACAACATCACAATAAAAACGTTCTCTAACTGGAAACCATGGGTTGATAGAACGATCCAGGCAGTGGTGAATGCGGGGCTCTTGTCGAGAGACATGACTGATTACAAAGCAGCATGTTACGCACTCCGGCTCACAGTGAGAACTGTTAAAACAACAGTACAGGACCGTAAAGGTTACTCGGTAACACTCTGCACACTGCACTTTATATTGATCTATGCAGGTCATCCTCCCTGCACACTGTTAGCTAGTTTCAATCGTTGCACATTGACAGTTCGGGTTTTAATAACTATGTATACATATGTGTATATATATATTAATTTCCTTTGTATTTAAAAAAAAAAAGTATTCTATTTTATTCTTTGTATTATCTCT